ACAAAAATCTATTTTTTCACGTGTTCCTGATTTAAACTTTTCCTAAAATGTTGATATAACCTAGATTTTTAGGTGTTTTTTCGAATGAGCTATCAAAAAATATAGAGTCCCGTGCAAAATTTGAGGGTTTTGCCCTGTTGAATCTCAAAACACGTGTGGTTCTTCAATAAAATCTTGTAGATTTTTCAGCGGTTTTTGAGCGCTCGCACATCGTGGGCTCAAATCGAACGTTCAAAAGTAGGCAGTCACCTTAATTGTTTGAATTGGGATCCACCCACCATTTAGAACCCTACCGAGAGTATCTTATTATTTTGGCCTAATTCGCTTTCTAGATCCGTTAAGTTATCGCAAGTTCGAACTTCCCAAGAACTAATTATGAGTCTCATCAAGTAGTTTATCATTAATGAGATAATTAGATGTGACAAGCTGAGTTAAATTGGTACTCTTTTTGCAGTCAAATGCTTTGTGATCATGAGCAAAATAAGCTGGTTAAAAAGATCGAAGCCAGATAGTCTATAAAATGCATGAATACGGATATTGGTAAAGATAGCGTATGATTCACAATCAGAATCGAAAGCAATACGACTAATCGTGACGACTCGTATCACTGTGCCTTACCACGCATACTTGAAATCAAACATGCGAGGTATTCTTTTTGTGATGAGGTGGGGGAGTGGGGATATTCATTGTTCTATGCCTTAGTATTAATGTAATGTCAATAAGGCTCAAAATAACTCTTGAAAGAGCTTCCTCTTGATTTTCAACTGCGGAACATCAAAATCTTAAATTGAATCGGTCCCTCAGTCCAAGTAAACTTGTGATTGCATTGCATGTCGACGATTACTCATCCCCTAAGGCTATTAGGCCTTGACTTTTCCAAGAAATGCCCATATAGCAATCTGGCGATTTCATTGAGTTTTCATCGGCAAATTTGCGAATTGGCTGACAGAGAACGAATTAAGATATTAAAGAAAGCGTGAGAAAATAAACATGGACAAGACCTTAAAAAATAAACAACTCTCCCTTTCTGGAAAACAGAAAAAAAGGAAGATATAGCGACCTCCCAATCGTTCTATCAGTTCTTTATAGTCGTGACAACTTCAATATAATTAATGGAAATAACGGTGAGCCCCTTCTGACTGCGCTTTGGCTGCGATTGCTCCGATCCTCTCCTCTCCTCGTTTTGAAATAAAATAAATGTGTTGTTATAGAAAAATGAGAACATGGCTGAATATTTTGACGTTAATTTAACGAAGTAACTAAAGAAGGAAGTTTTGATCTAGTTCCAGCCTACTCTTCAGCCGAGAATCAGAAGAAGTGGCGAAAGTGAGTGAACGTAAATTATGAACATTATCTCCTTGCTTGGTCAATAAGTTATTCTTAGTCTAGTGCTTTGATTTGAAATAATAATAAGAATCGAAAAAAAAAAATGTACGTACTGGGAGAACTTATTTTTTTAATATATATATTGGCAAGATTTCAGTCCTCCATCCGGTTGCCATTTCATGTCTTTTTGTCTCAAACTTATTAGTTCAAATCAGTGAAAAAATAGCTAGAGAAATATTGGAGGAAAACAGAAGAAAACGAGATACTTTGGGTCATTTTTCCTTATAAATTCCAAAGAGATCGAAGGGTTGGCGTGGAAACACAAAACAATTAAACCGTTCGAAAAATTCTGGCAAAAAGCCGCGCATACTTAAAGTTCGAAAAACATTTCGTTTTCAACCCAAAATATATGAAACCATAGTTTATGATGAAACGAAACCTTTCAGGCTTATTTAATGACAGTATAGCTAGATGATTTATTGGTTGAGGTTAGCGAACTTGACACATGTATTAAGGAGTTTTTAGTAGACAATACCGGAAATGAAAGTCTGGAATAAAAGGAAGTGGGAATGCAGTGGAAATCGTGGAAATCGAAATCGAAAATTTTAGTATTTGAGAGCTACACCGCTGATTGATCGCGGGCGTAATGTGTTGATAATCGCTTGTGATTGGTTAATTGAGTTTGATGCATGCGTAGAAGTGAATAAGCACTGAACATTCACTGGTGGCTTATTTTCTCTTTTCTGTACACGAACTACGCTTTTCTGGAAGGATTTCAACTAGTACATGCTTTGTTCAATGACCATGGACCCCAAAACTGGTTGGTCACAGCCTGAACAGCATGGTCCGGCACACAAACTTTGGGGAAAAGTAATGGAGACGACTATTAATAACGGTATAGGTTCACCAACCTTGGGTAGTAATACCGAACCTAGGACTTCTGACTTTCTTCCTTTGAATGTGAGGAATGGGATGGATAGCACATTTGTAAAGAATATCATAAACAATGATAAGACTTATGGTGGCAAAAGGAAAAGATCGGAAAATATCGCTAGTACTAGTAACATGGATGATTCTTCGTTGGTATCGGAGGAGACTGTTCCATGGAAGCCCAATGGGCAAAACTATGTTAATGGAGTTGTTGGGTAGGTTAGATACACGAATTTCTCGTCTTCTTCAAAATGACAACTCCTGGCTGGATATCTTATGTATTTATCTGTTCTTATTTGAAGCCTTCATCAAGAGATTTTGGACTTTTACGAGTTCATGAAGCCAAGAAAAGCCGAGCTAAACATGCGAAAAGACGTCGCTCGTCGAGTAAAAGAAGTTATTATAAGATTATGGCCAACAGCTGAGGTAACGTAGAAATTGTTTTACTAGTCCAGTAATTCTGTCTTCATTCTCTTTACAAAAGACTTTAACGTTTTATTGTAATGTTTTAGGTTGTAGTCTACGGAAGCTTCGAAACTAACCTGTATTTACCAACGAGGTAAGACTTTATCCCATTCATATTTCTTTTACTTGTTGCTTCATTTGTGTGGAGCACTAATTTAAACTTAATAAATTATTTCCTTGGGAATTTTTTTATTCCCAAAACACCTGTACGATTTTTAGCCATTTGTTAGGGAACTCTTCTTATGGTTATAAGTGGAGGGATCGGCAAATGCTTTGCTAAGAAACAGGTTGGCGTAAAAAAAGAGTACATTATTTGAACAGTTTTCATATATTTGTATGTTCAATCGAAACTGCACTCTATTTTTACCTGAAAAAGGGGGAAACTTACTAAGAGGAAGAACTATAGATAATGCTGTCTTTTTAATTTAGTGACATAGATCTGGTAGTGTTCGGCAAGTGGGAACGGCTGCCATTATGGACGTTAGAGAAAGCTCTCCAAGCCAACAACATCGCTGAACCATCTTCCATCAAGGTTCTAGATAAAGCATCGGTAAGGGGTTTAAATCTATCCTCTCCATAATTATGGCTCCCATTACTAATAATTGTTCGTTGAGTGATCATCGAGTTTACATAAAATATTTAAAAATGATCTCTAGTGTTTATTCCCTCAAGGGATTGAGAGTAGAGTTGGATCATCTTAAAGAATTTGTGAACCCCTCGTTTCTCAAGATATCTATTACCCACAGCCTAATCTCAATTACCAAGCAGCTAAGTGCTACGGCTATAGTCCTGGTTCATTGTTTTAGTTTGTAAACAGAACCTAACGTTTTATTTATAATAGGATCAAGATATTTCAAATGTTCGTTGTTATGATGTACATAAATAACTTACCTATATATGGTAATGTGATACTGTCAACAATAGTGGATTGTCTGTCAGGCTATATCAAGAACCACCTTCATTGATATCTTATTTGATATCTTGAAAAATTATGTTGATGTAGAAGTCTATATATGATATGACAGGAGCTTTAAATGGGTTTTTAACAATTTTGTTTTTAAAGCCCGAGTGCTCAGACTATGTATTATTACTTTCTTGAAAAAAATTCTTGTTACAAATCTTTTTATTAACATTTTATCTGCAAAAGGTTTTCAGAATTGGTTTTAAAAATACCTTTTGCAATCATTAATATTTTGTGGACTACAGAATACAATTAGCCTTTCTAAATTCTTCAGACGCAATATGCTAAATAGGAAGGTTGACCTTTAATCTTCTTGATATTATGTTGTATACTAGAGTGCTCACACTAAATCCRTGAAACAAATACTAATTTTTAGTACTAAATAGTGATAATTAAACAATATAAAACAAAGGATTCTGTATGAAATAGTACTAATTAGTACTATTTAGTGTTCACGGTTTTAGTGTGTGCACTCTAAGATGTTGGTTTATCTTTTTATTTTTTATTTTTATTTTTTTGCTTTTTATTTTTTATCTGACATGTTTCAATATACTAATATGATATAATATAATATAACATGACATGACATGACATGACATGACATGACATAACAACATAACATAATATAATATAATATAATATGATATAATATAATATTTTATCATTGGGGAGAATACGTCACTATGTGCAGCAGACATACCTTAATTGACATTTTTTTAACTCTTCAAGAAAAATGCCTAGTTTTGTCGAAAGCCAGTCTATATCAACTTACTATAGAGGTAAAACTTATCTTCTTTAACTTACAGCAAGTAAACAAAAAGGAAAAGTACCCCATGAAAATTAGTTATAACTACACTGTCTGACCTTTCAGACATTAGTCCTTTGTCAAAGTTATTTTTTCCTAGCAAGACTTTACTAGTTTATGTCTTTTCCAAGTAGTAACTGCTAGTCATTATCTTCTTTAATCAAGGTAATTGCCCTAATTCACTAATACGTTTCATCAAAACAATCTTCAGCAATCTATTGTTTAAATGCATAGGATCATGGTCGTCGGACGGGGTCAAATCAACACAAATTCATCGAAAATTGTTCTCAAACATGTATCAATCCACAAAGAGAGGTAGAATAGCCAGCAAATGCTCAGAATATTTTTTAGTACATATTAACACATATTATATCTGAAAACCAGGCCATTTAAGATTAAACTGTTTAGCTAGGAGCAAATTTTGTTGAATTGGTGATTCTATCCCCCACATAAACAAGCAGTGACATCATAGTGAATTAGGTCAATTACCTGTAACTAGGGAAGTTAAGGCCTGTGATGTAAAAAAACTTATTAAGTACTAAACAAAGTTTTAAGTTCAATGAATTTTAATAAAGGAACCGGATAATTTATTTCCTACGTCTCAGGGCTGAGGATATTGATTTGCGAAGCTATTAGATAGAGGTTATAAACTGGCCAGGTCTTAATAAGGAAAAGCTGTGACTGCATGGTCTTGAAGAGACATTTTCAAGACCAAGGGAACAGTTTTTCACTATCACGACTGTTTTTAGTATGGTGGCTTAGGATGGTAAATAAGTTATTAATTTTTCCCCTTTTTACTTTTTTACTTGTTTTGCGATTCATTTTGTTGTTTAGCAAGCTCTTATCCCATGCGCGCATAATGGGATGGCATAAACAGCCTGGATACAGGACTATGATCAGAAATAAAAAATACTGCCCAATCCAACCAGCAAATCAGAATTTTTGGGATACTGGACCAAAAAAAGAAAATTATTGTTCTAGTATAGCAGTTTTTGTATTACTGTGAAAAAGTCAGTGCCATATGCATGCCTTGCTGTGACCTTGATATTTTCTAAAAATATATATTGATTGGGGGAGTTTATTTGAAAAGTGGTTACAATTCTGACGTAGTCTACTTGCTTAAACGTATATTACAAACCTGTGTCTTTAATATGCTAGTCATCTTATGATAAGTGCTCAATTCACTTGGGTTTTGGTGTCTTGAAAAATTTCCTTTTCTCAGTTTGCCTGCTTGGATTTGAGTTGAAATTGGAATTTATCAAAGGTAGACTCCATACAGCTGGTATCAGAAGAAGGCAGATGTCTGAAATGTATTCTTATTTATTTGTAGGTTCCTATTATCAAGTTAACAGACAAAGAGACTGAAGTGAAAGTTGACATTAGCTTCAATGTCTATGCTGGAGTCCAAGCAGCTGATTTTGTGAAGGTACATTTTTTTGTCAGTTGCTACATACAGCAATTTCCTTACTTGTTAACTTGAGCAAAATACAGTCAAATCCTATATTACTATCAAATCCTGGATATCTCAAGCTTCCCAAAACCATGAAATTAAGGCCATAAGTTTATTACTAATCTCAGGAAATAATGATATCAGGAATCCACTGTATTATTAGATATAATCAACATGTAGTATGCAATTAACTGGTCATGTTGCTATGGCAACCCTCTCTTCTTGTCTTAGAAGGAATAGTGATATTTTATTTTTTATTATTTTTGTCATAGTAAAATTAAGCATACATCTCTAGTTTCAATAGAGGACATTACATGGGCGCACGGAGATACGAATTTTTTCTTTGAGTGTTGAAAAGACCTCTCACGAGTGAGTGTAGTGAACGAGTGAGAGATTTTCAACACGAGAAGATAAATTTCGTATCTCCGTGCGCCCATGTAATATTCTGTTTATTATATGATTATATGTTTTGGCTTTTTCAGGCAATTCTTTCCGTGTATTTTTGAATAGCTATCGCAATGGTGTTATCTTCACACGTGAAAATAACATGTTATTTTCACGTGTGAAGATATCAATTTTTCGAAATAGAGAAAAATAGATATTTCATTGGTAATTATGTTTTGTTATATCTATCAACTTAATGGTGCCCATATGTTTTTTTGATATTTTATTCCCTTAGGAATGATTGCTATTATTTACATTATTTATTTTTAATTCATCAGAAAAACATGAAAATCTACCCTTGCATACCTCCACTTGTTCTTGTATTGAAGCATTTTTTACTCCAGCGTGACTTGAATGAGGTTTTTACTGGTGGTATAAGCTCATACAGTCTCATTTTAATGGTTATAAGTTTCCTGCAGGTATGTTGGGTATGATTCAGAATGTTATGAAATAAGATTAAAATTTTAATTTTTTTCTGGTCCGGTATCCTAAAAAAGCGTGCGTTCTGATTGGCTGTTTGAGCGGGCGGGTTTGTAAGTATCTGCCCGCTCGCGCGGTCCGGTATCCTTTGCCGCTAAATGACAACACAAAACGATTACAAAAAAAAATAAAAAAATACGGGAAAAAATTTAATAAGTTATTTACCGTCCTATAGTCGGTCCGGTCTTGAAAACGGACCTTGGCCTAACGAGACCTCGGGCACAGTTTTTCTCTATCCGCACCCCTGGCTGGTAAATAACATATATATATTATTTATGACAAATATGTAGAGTAAGGCAAGTCTATTTGCTTAATGACAGATATTATTATAAAAAACGTAGATTATGAAAAATAACTGCCTTTCCCTACATTTTATTCTATCAATTTTTTTTCACCAATTTGAGAATAGTAAGGCATAAGAGCCTTTCCTGAATTTTCTTTGGTGACAACAAAACAATGACTCCAAAGTCAAGTTGTACTTTATGTGTTCTTACATTTATTGTAATTTATTAAGTCCAAACTCGACTTGGAGGCATTATTTTGTGCTCACTCAAGCGAAATCGGAAAAATTCTGTTTGTTTAATGCTAATTAGTTTTAAAAAATGTGCAATGGAGGGCCCATTTCCTATCCTTTCAACCTACTCCACTTGTACTGTGCCCTAAATTCCTAGCAACATCTCAGTTGAGGTCTATTAAACTTAAAGTTTATTTTGACTTGGTTTCAGCTTCATGTGAGAAGTGACGGCAAAAGCTTAGATGATAATCTTGGTGTACTCCTGATTGAGTTCTTTGAATTGTATGGTAATAATTTCAACTACTTCAACGCAGGGATATGCGTCAGAGGTGGTGGTTCTTATTTCAGCAAACAAGAGGTACTGTAACAGCAAAATACTTATATTCCTATATTCATGTTACTGCAACTAGAATAGAATAGTTTAACAAGGGCTCTTAGCATTACTTCAAGTGGAGCTTAACAGTTATGATAAGAGAAGTAGGGTATGGAAATGGGGTTGGGTGTGGTGGGGGTTGAATGCCCCCTTTTAATATTCAGTTTCAATATTTTATTTCAAATACAAATTTTTTAAAAAATTAAAAGGGTTGAGAAATTCTTTTTTTTTCCATTTCTGGGTAACAGAAAAACTCATTGTGACTTAATGGTTTTCTACATTTCTTCATCAATGAGGTTCTCAGGAATTTATTAGGGAAAGTTTGTCATAATAATAATAATAATAATAATAATAATATTAATAATAATTGATAATTTCTATAGTGTTAATATCCGTGAGTTCAATAACACTTTACATTTTAAAAAAGATAAGGACATTCAACCTTTTTTTTTTTAAATTGTTATAATATTAATTTAACATACGACAATGATTCAATTAAATACATAGAAAAGCACTTTGCAGTATAATACATGTGTCATAATACATGTACTAGGTGGCTCATAACTCTAGAATATTACTCTGATACAAGAAAGGGCCATATATCACATACTTTCATTATATATTGTTGTGTTTATTACCCCGATACAACCTTGCTTGCCTCTTTGATTGACCGTTACTACTTTGTTGATAATTGTAAAGGGACATTGGGGATCCTATACCCAACTTATTTGCTAATTTGCTTATTTGCCACTTTTTTTTCACACAACATTAAAAACACTCACACAAAACAGCTAATATAAACATTCTATTTGAATTTATGCCTGCATGAAAAAAAGGCCTTTATGTTTAAAATGTTGATTGGCTGTCATCAAGTTGCGGCTGGGTATTTTGGAACTTGCATCCATTCAGTATTTTGGATTTCAGTTCTATACTAAAAATGAAAAGTCTGTAATCTCCTCTGTCAGTAAAAAGCAAAATTTACTTCTTACAAAAATGACCGCAGAATTCCTTTCTTGTTTCAAGAAATTTTTAAAGTCTCACTTCATTTTCAATTTCACTTTCACAGTTCCTTACTTTCCTGATGGCAACTGTATTTAGCCATAGTAAAGGAACACAACAGAAATGTGAGAACCTTTAAAAAGTCCATTTATGTCCTGGTACAATCAAAATACAGACATTGAAGGTGTTAATTATACTGTTAAAGTCTCTTTAAAAAGTGTATGTTTATTTGTCATTCTATCAACTATATGTTTGGTTTCTTTTATTTCATTTTTATTCATATTTCATTTACCAAAAAAATGAAAGACTTTAGAATCATCTTTCAAAATATTTTTAAGTAAGTCAATCTTGCACCCATCTCTTTGACATAAATTATTTCATTTTTCTTTCTTTCATTGTATCAAACTTCCTGAGAGAATGTATTTGTATGTTATAACTATTTTTGTCTACCTATGCAACATTCATTGTTTGGTCCATTCCTCCTTTGTCTATTTACTTTGCAATTCCATAAAATAATGAAACTTTTTCTTCAACATCAAGACAAAAGTAAATAAAACAATTTTTCTTGGTGTTGTCTAGTAAAATTTGTACAATGAAACCTGTAGTCTAGTGTAATTTGTACAATAAAACCTTAGACGTATGACAACAGTTCAAGCATTTGTAAGTTCGTTCAAAACCTTATTTGAAAGTTGAATCCTTGATAGACTCAATGAAATAACGTATACTTCTGTATCAAGTTTTAACATTACTCAACTCAGGTAATGTGCCAGAGACGAGAAGAAGGGAGAAGGGAGTGCTTTACCTCTATGTCACCCTTGATTGCTTGCAACCTGTGCAACCTCTTTATAGTGAATAAACTCTTGTTGTAATTTTTGGTTTGTGTTACAGCGTGACATTTACAAAATATGTGGAGGCCTTGATAAAATGTGTCTTTTGTAGGTATTGAATGACATGGATGAAGGATTAAACACTTCTTTACTCTGCATTGAGGACCCATTCACTCCAGGTATTACCATCGCTAATAATGAATAATAATGAATAAACACTAGTTATCAAAAGATTTTTAAATGGCTATAGTTGGAGGAGAAAGTACTTTCTTATGGGCCAAATAATATATGCCGAAATAGCATTCTTACAAAATTAATTATGTATTAAGAATAGGGTGCTGTTCACACATTTAAATTGTAAAGACCAAGAGTTTCTCGTAGCCACAAAACTCACAGTTTTCTTGACTCCACTCCACTCCACTCCACTCCACTCCACTCCACTCCACTCCACTCCACTCC